TGATTGCTGATGTTTAAAATCAGTCCCAGAACCTGCTTCTGGATGTTCTAAATCTAAATTAGGTCCAGAACCTGATTCTGGATGTTCTAAACCTAGATTAGGTCCAGAACCTGATTCTGGTAAATCTAAATCAGTTCCAGAACCTGGTTCTGGATGTTCAAAATCAGTCCCAGAACCTGTTTCTGGATGTTCTAAATCAGTCCCAGAGCCCAGTGCAGAGGATGCTGAAATGGAAATCAGTGCCATACCCTGATGTAGAGGATGTTGTAAACATAAAACAGTCCCAGAACCTGGTTCTGGATGTTGTCAATGAAAATCAGTGCCAGAACTTGATTCTGGATGTTCTAAATCAGTGCCAGACCCTGGTGTAGAGGATGCTGAAATGGAAATCAGTTCTAGAACCTGACTCTGGATGTTGAGATGGAAATCAGTGCCAGACCCTGGTGCAGAGGAATAGAAATCCCTCCCAGACCCCGGTGCAGAGGAATAGAAATCCCTCCCAGACCCCGGTGCAGAGGATGGTTTCCCACTGAGCTGCTGTCCCAGCAGCTCTCAGCCCCCTCCCCCAGAGCAGAGTGCCCCTGTGATGTTGTTTAATGCAGAACAAATCATTTTTTTCTGGCACAGGTTTGAACCCATGAAGCTGCAGGTGCTTGTCAGCCCCACAGAGGAGCAGAGGAAAGGCAGGAGGTGTTGCAGATTTTCTGGAAAACACCCAGAGCAGGATTTCCCTGAAAGTGGGACCAGCTTGAATAATGAACCACATTTTTTTCTCTTTTTTATTTTTTTTTTTATTACTTTTTTTTTTAATTTTTTTTTTTTGAGATTGCTGTGTAGTGCTTGAGTGGAGCAGGATTGTCAGGAAGGAATTGGTGCTGACTGCAGCACAGAAAATGGTTTGGGAAAGGAGAACCAGGAGTGGTTTCATTCCTTTGAAAGAAATGAGGAAACAAAGCAGAGGGATTATTCCTGAGAGTGTAGGGTTGGCTCTGAAATAAGTCCTTTGAATTAGTTAATTAAAAAAAAAAGAGCAAATTAAACAAAAATAAATTAAAAACCCCTGGAGCATCCCATGGTTGTGAAATGGATTCATTTTCATGTGTTAGAGCTGATCATTCCATTTGCCATTGGGAATTTCTAATTCTTGCATTTTAGTTATAAAATTTAAGTTTTAGTTGTGAAATGGATTCATTTTCATGTGTGAGAGTTGATCTCTCCATTTGCCATTGGGAATTTCTAATTCCTGCATTTTATTTATAAAATTTTAGTTTTAGATTCATTTCATGTGTGAGAGTTGATCTCTCCATTTCCCATTGGGAATTTCTAATTCCTACATTTTAGCTATAAAATTTAAATTTTAGATTCATTTTCATGTGTGAGAGTTGATCTCTCCATTTGCCATTGGGAATTTGCTAATTCCTGCATTTTAGTTATAAAATTTAAATTTTAGTTGTGAAATGTTGTATTTCATGTGTTAGAGCTGATCTTTCCATTTTCCATTGGGAATTTGCTAATTCCTGCATTTTAGTTATAAAATTTTACTTTGGGCAACAGGGAAGAATTTCTTTGTTGTATCTGATCTAAATCTACCCAATTTCACTCAAAACTTTGCCCCTGTTGGATCCTAGGAGGGATCCTCTCAGAGCAAGCAGATCTCTCAAAAAATCTCCATTTAATTCCTATTTTGCTTCCTTTCAAAATGATTTAAACCACCAAAGAAACGAGACCCAGCGATTCTTTTATTTATTACTGATCTGAGCAGGGTTTCAAATTAACGAGGTGTGGGCTGAGTTGGTAAAAAAAAAAAGTCCTGATGATTTAATTTATCCTCTATTCCAGGGGATAAATGCTCATCTCAGCCGTGTCTCCTGCAGCATCTGAAGCAAAACCTCTTCAGTGGGATAAAAATTTGAATTCATTCCAAGCCCTGCCTGTCTAAGGGAGTTTTTCCATGGTGCTGCTGATTTTTTTTAATTTTTTTTTCTGGTGTGGAATTTTTCTTTTGGGCTGTTTGAAGCACCCATTAACCTGCATGCTGATGGTAGAGGATGGTGTCTGGGTTTTTTGTTTTTTTTTTTTTTTTAATGGGTTAATTCTTGTTACAATCCCACCATGGAAACCTTCATTTCAAAATCCCCGTGGGTTTGAGTTGGGTGGAGAATTTATGGGGTTTGCCAGCAGTTGCTGTTGTTTTCTGGTGGTTTGAGTGGTGCAGCTCTGCTTTTTCCTCCTGCATCTGGTGTCAAAAGAACCCCTGGCACACTCATGAAGCAACAGCTCTGTGTGATGAGAGGGATTTTATCCTCATCTTTTTTAGAAGCACTTTAAAAATACTCCTGGCTGTCATCCAAGCCTTCTGGCCACCAGGAAATGTCTTTGCAATCTTTGGGCTTTCCCTGTGCCTGAAACTGCTCTGATTTGGGGATAAAAACAGGGATCAGCTTTCCTTTTCTGCACTGCTGAGTGCTGGTCTCTAAAGCGACCCAGGAGCAGCTTTCCTTTCATCCCTGTGCCCAAATCCCTGCTCAAATCCAAGCCCCAGCCTTTGGGCCAGGCTGGTGACACCTTCAGCTGCCCCTCAAGGTGAAACACAAAGCCTGGCCCGTGTCAGCAATGCTTGGGGAATAATTTAAATATGGGAATGGCTCCCTGAGCCCTCAGTGTTTGTGCCATGAGCTCTAGGTTGCCTTTGAGTGCAAGCTTTCCTTCCAGGGGAATCCTCTTACCTTGGGGTCTTGTTCTGAAAAGTCACTGTGCTCAATCACATTCTGATCACGTTTTTCCATGGATTTTAAAAATTTTAATGGAAATACCTAACATTGCCTCCAGTAAGAAAAGCAGCAATGTTCATTTCAGGAATTAAGCTGCTCCATAAGCATTTACTTGAAATATTTTCTTCCCACCCTTTTTTCTCTGCTGATGGCAGAATGAGTTTCTTGGAAGGAGCTTAGGGCTGATTGTTTTTCCACCAGATATTTTCAGTTTGTCTCAATGTCCCTCAGTGCCTTCCTCACTGGCACTGTTTGAACTCCTGCTATTTTTGGGTGGTTCTAATATTTCAACAACCCAAGTTGTAAACAGGGCTGGACAACAGCAGCATGGGAGTCCAGCAGCTTTTTAGGGAGGACTGGCAGTCTGAGGCTGCCTTGGCTTTAGCTGTAGCCTCAGGAGGTTTGTGACAGTCTCACTACACCAATTCTGCTGTCCCTGGAATATCCCAACCCTTGCCCAGCACTGCCAATCCCACCACTGAACCATGAAATCCCTGCAGGGATGGGGGCTCCAGCACCTCCCTGTTCCACTGACAGCCCTTTGGGAGAAGAAACATTCCCTGAAATCCCATCTAAACCTCCCCAGCACAACTTGAACCCATTTCCTCTGGTCCTGTGGCTTGGGAGAAGAGGCTGAGCCCCCACCTGGCTGCAGCCTCCTTTTTGTAGGGTCAAAATAATCCTCTTGACAAAGTGGTTTGGGTTCCTGTGTCTCACTGAGCCCTCTGTGGCATTCCATGATCTGGAATTCCATGACTGTTCTTACCAGATCAGAACCTTTTTTTTGGTTTTTGTTTATTTTCTCATTCCCTGCAGCTGATCACCCCTTTCTGCTCTTTGCCCCTTTGGGAATCTGGGGGTTCAGGTTCTAATTCTCCTGTTTGGAAATATCTTAGGGGGATGTGCTGATTCTTTTCCACAAATGTACAGCAGGCACAGACTGAAAATATCTGAAAATATCCCTGCACCTCCTGTCCTGGTCCTTCTGCACAGATCTGTGTTCCCAGTGTGTGTCCAGGGCCCTGCTGGCTCTGTGAGCTGCTCCTTTGCTCACTGCCTTACCACTGGAGCCTTCAATAAATCAGAATTTCTGTGGCATTCGTGCTTGGGTTGTGATGGCTTTGCCTGGACTTGGATTCCAGGTTTGGATTCCTCCTGACCAGAAAGATCTGGAGGGGCTGGAGCAGGTCTGGGAAGGGAATGGAGCTGGGAATGGGTCTGGAAAAGCAGGAATGGCTGAGAGAGATGGGAAAGATCTGGAAAATCAGGAATGGCTGAGAGAGCTGGGAAAGATCTGGAAAATCAGGAATGGCTAAGGGAGATGGGAAGGGGCTCAGCCTGGAGAAAAGGAGGCTCAGGGGGGACCTTGTGGCTCTGCACAACTCCCTGAATTCTTGGAGAGGTTTGGGATCTGGGAACAGGGACAGGAGGAGAGGGAACGGCCTCAGGCTGGGCCAGGGGAGGGCAGGGTGGATTTTGGGGAATTTCCCCATGGAAAGGGTGGGCAGGGATTGGAAGGGGCTGCCCAAGGAGATGTGACCTCACTGTCCCTGGGGGTGCCCAAGGAATTCCTGGAGGTGGCACTCGGTGCTCTGGGCTGGGGAGGGGACATAGGTTGGACTCGATGATCTCAGAGGTTTTCTCCATCCTCAGTGATCCTGGAATTCTGTACTGGCATCCTCATTTGTGTTCTGAGCTCTTGAGGTCAGAGGAGATTTTGTGTCACCCTCAGCCCTCCTCCCTGAAAGTTGGAACTTGATGTGGCAAAACCAAATCCCAGCTTTGACCCTTGAACGTGCAGACACAGAATCTCAGGGCTGCAGGATCCTGGGGACTTTTCCAAGAGATAACAGTGCCTGGGTGCTGTGCTATAAAAATGTGGTTTTTTCCAAACTCTTCACCCTAAGGCTCCTCTCCTGGCTCCTGGCAGAGTTATTTCCCTCTTGCAGACATCAGGAGGAGATGATCTCCATCCCTCATTCTCACACCCTGAGCTTTTCCTTTTTGTCCCTTCTCCAGTGACTTGATGGAAGAACACGGGGTGACCCAGCACAGATAACAGTGCCTGGGTGCTGTGCTATAAAAGTGTGGATTTTTCCAAACTCTGCACCCTGAAGTTCCTCTCCTGGCTCCTGGCAGAGTCAGGAGAGGACATCCCCTGTCCCAGGGGAGATGATCTCCATCCCTCATCCTCACACCTTGAACTTTTCCTTTGTGTCCCTTCTGCAGTGACTCTTGATGGAAGAACACGGGGTGACCCAGGCAGAGCACATGGCTACCATCGAGGCCCACGCAGTGGCCCAGCAGGTGCAGCAGGTGCACGTGGCCACCTACACAGAGCACAGCATGCTGAGTGCTGACGAGGACTCGCCCTCCTCCCCCGAGGACACCTCCTACGACGACTCCGACATCCTCAACTCCACGGCTGCCGACGAGGTCACTGCTCACCTGGCGGCTGCAGGTAAGGCCCCATCATCATCATCATCATCATCATCATCATCATCATCATCATCATCATCATCATCATCACCATCATCATCACCATCATCATCATCATCATCCCCACCTGTCACTTTTAAATCTTTTTTTTTTTTAAATGAGCGATACAGTTTTTCTTTTTCGGACTCAGATTTTTATTAATTCTTGTCTGTGTTGCAGTTTAGGTAAAAATGGTGAAGTGGTGATCTGTCTCTCTCATTACAAGGTCTATTTAACTTAAACTGTCCAATTAAGAACTAACACCTAAATTATTTCCATTTTGACCCAATAACCAAACACCCATGGCCTGCAGTGCAGCATTTTCCACCCAATCACAAAAGTACCACTAGACCCACCAAGAAAAAGGTGAAGAAGAAAGAAACCTCTGCCCTAAAACCTCCATCTTGCTTTTCATATATTGCTATATTCTAAACCCTTCAATTCTAAATTTTCCACCCTTTGCTATCACACCCTTCTATTCAAACTACACCCCCAGTGATTCTAACTCCCACCACTCAAATTTTGGAAGGTTTCTCCAAGGCCTCAAGTGTTCTTTTGAAGTTCAGTGTCAGAAAGCTCAAAAAATCTTCAGGGTTCCAAGCACTGACCCCCTGTGCTTTGATTTCCAGGCCCTGTGGGGATGGCAGCAGCTGCTGCAGTGGCCACAGGGAAGAAAAGGAAGCGACCTCACGTTTTTGAGTCCAACCCCTCCATCCGGAAGAGGCAGCAGACACGTTTGCTCAGGTGAGCACTCACCTGTCCCCCAGGCAGCTCTGGTGACCTGTGTGCTCACACCAAGTGCTGCCCACATTATTAGTGACTGATCTTCTTTTTTATTTCAGTCAGAGCTGGGATCGATGCACAAGAGACAGGATTGTTGTGTTCAGGCTCAGTTGTTCATTAATTCTTATTTTTAGTACAGTGAGTTTAGCTAACAAGCTAAAAGTGAGGAAATGTTGTTGGATCTTTTAAGGCCTAACTAGCCAATTAAAAACTTAATATCTGTATTATTGATACTTTTGACCCAAACACCTGTGACCTGCACTGTGGGATTTTTCTATCCAACCAAAAACTAAGAAGAAGAAGGAACAAGAAGGAGGAAAAAGACAATGCCCAAACCCTTCATCTTGTCCCATACCTATTACCATATTCCAAAACCCCAAATTCCAAACCCTTCACCATGTGAAATTACACACTCCTGCCCAATCACTCCAGTGGTTTTAACTCCATCACTCAAATTTGGAAGCTTTTTCCAAGGCCTCCAGCCAAAAGCAGTGTTCTTTTGAGGGTCAGTGCCAGAAATCACAGAAAGTTCAAAATTCCCAGGTTTCAGGGTTCCAACGGGGCTTTTTTTTTTTTTTTTGGAGGGGGGGAGTGTCTTTCTGGAACCCCAAGAGTTGTGTCTGTGTTTGGATTAAAGGGTTAAATTGCAGCTCTGCTCATCTCTGCAGTGATTTTATGCTCACCAGGACTGACCCTGTGGTGGATCACCAGTTAAATCTGTCACAGTGACACTGCAAGAAATCCATGGTGGCTTCAGCAGAACCTGAAGCTCCCTCCACATCCCAGTTCTGCAAAGGATTTACCTGCCTCACAAAAAAAAAAGTCTTTTCTGCTTGACCAAACCTTTCTGGGAATTAAATTCAGTGTGTAAATCCAAATTTCCTTTGCCATTGGACAAACCCCACGTTGAAGACTGGGCAGTTTAGAGCACAGTTTTAAGAATAATAATCAGGGGGAGATTCCTGCACTGTTTTTTTTTTTTTGTTTTAGGGTTTAGAGGGCTCCCCAGCCCTCTCCAGGTGCTGCATTCCAGGTGTTCTGAGGCTCTTTGCCCACCTGATGGCCCCAGAGCCACAGCAGAGCTGATGGCACTGCACAGCCCTGGAGACAGCACCTGAAATTCCTGAAATTTGTCTCTGCAAACCCTTGCTACTGTTCCCTAGCTTTTGGAACAAAGCAATTTTTGCTGTTTGGGATCTCATTGGGCTCAATTAATGCTAAATTATTGGGCAGAGCTATTGCTAAATCACAATTCCTGGGAGTGAACTCCCTGCCTTTTACAGCTCCATTCTGATTTTCTCTCCTTCTCCCAGCTCAGCTGTGCTCATTGCAGCGTTTCTGAAGAGCAGGAATCCTTTTCTCCCTTGAAATATGAACAATAGATTTTTAAAGAAACTGCTCAGTGAAGAAATTATTTCTTCTCCTTTCATTTTATTACATTAAGATAATGAACAAAACATCACTTTTTTTTTTTCTTTTCCCCCACTCTGATCAGTTGAACACACGTTTGTGGTTGATTTTCACAGCACTGGGAATCAAGTGGTAATTTCCAACCCCTGACTGTGGGATCTGCTGGTGCTTTTTGGCAACAGCAGGTCCTGAAATGACCAGGACAGGGACTGAGCTGTCACCTCATGGAGTGCTCAGGTTTTCTGAGGGAAATTCTCCTTCTCTC